CCTTTCAACTTTCCCTCTGGTCCTTCAATATTAACATCAGGGCCTTCGATGTCCACCTTGGGTCCTGACACATCAATGTCAGCTTTGGGCAGATTCACATCCACTTCTGGGCCTTCTCCTTTGAAGCCAGGCATGCTGAACTTGGGCATTTTCATCTTAGGCATCTTCATGTGCCAGTCTGGGCCTTGAACATCCACATCAGGGACATCAATGTCCACTTTGGGGCCTTTGACGTCAACTTCGGGGCCCTTGAGGTCACCTTCCACTTTAGGCACAGAAACATCCACATCTCCTTTCACCTTAGGACCTTTCAGGTGCAAATCAAAGTCAGGCATGGAGATCTTGGGGGCTTTGATGTTCATCTCAGGCATCTTGAACTTAGGACCCTTCAACTTTCCTTCTGGCCCTTCAATGTTAACAACAGGGCCTTCAATGTCCACTTTGGGTCCTGACACATCAATGTCGGCCTTGGGCAGGTTCACATCCACTTCGGGGCCCTCTCCTTTGAAGCCAGGCATGCTGAACTTGGGCATTTTCATCTTAGGCATCTTTAGGTGCCAGTCTGGGCCTTGAACATCCACATCAGGGACATCAATGTCCACTTTGGGGCCTTTGAGGTCAACTTCAGGTCCTTTAAAATCTCCCTCTACCTTGGGGCATGTGATATCCACATCTCCTTTCATCTTTGGACCTGTTAGATTAAGATCAATATCTGGCATGGGTATCTTTGGAGTCTTAAAATGCATTTCAGGCATTTTAAACTTTGGACTTTTCCACTTTTCTTCTGGTCCTTCAATGTTAACAACAGGGCCTTCAATGTCCACTTTGGGTCCTGACACATCAATGTTGGCCTTGGGCAGGTTCACATCCACTTCTGGGCCCTCTCCTCTGAAGCCGGGCATGCTGATCTTGGGCATTTTTATCTTGGGCATCTTCGGGTGCCAGTCTGGGCCGTGAACGTCCACATCTGGAACATCAATGTCCACTTTGGGGCCTTTGATGTCAACATCAGGGGCCCTCAGGTCACCTTCCACCTTAGGCACAGAAACATCCACATCTCCTTTCAC